GGATAGATGTTGATCAAACATTACCCCAAGGTTTCTTACGGAAGTATGGAAATATATGGGTATCCCATTGAGGTAGAGTTGAGGATTACAAGAAATGAGGTTAATCATATGCTTGGAACCAATGACAATGGCTTTGGTCTTCTCAACATTTAATTTTAAATCATTACTCACTGCTCAGGTATTAATACTGTCAATATCTTCTTGTAGCCGTCGGATCACATTTAGTATCTATCTAAAGGTAGATTTTGAGATCAGGTATTGTGAATGTTGGATGGAATCAGGAAGGTCATTAATGTAGATTAAGAAAAGAGTTGGAGAGAGCAGAGATTCCTGAGGAACATCCTGAGTTAGTATGAGGGAGGAGGAAGGAATTTTATTGGGAATGATAACTGTTTGGGGCCTGTGATTCAAGAAGGAGTGAAACCACTTTAGGACACCATTTGATATGGAAACTTTTTGGAGTTTGGAAAGGAGGATTTCATGATTAACGGAATCGAAGGCTTTTGAAAAATCAAAGTGGACCAGGATAGAGATTTTCTGTTCGTCTATGGAGAATTGAAGGTCTTGGATGATTTTCAACAAAGCAGATTGTGTGGATAAGTGGGATCAGAAACCAGGCTGGAAGGAATTGAGGAGAGCTTTCTGACCAAGGAAGGTATAAAGCTGTGAGCGGACCAGTCTTTTGAGAGATTTTGAAAGGTTGCAGAGAATGGAGATGGGTCTGAAATTGGAAACTTTGGAGGAAATTGAAACTTTGCTCAATGGGCGGACTATAATATTTTTCCAATCTGATGGAAAATTGGAATTTTGAAGAGTAAATTATAAATATGCAGTAAGACAGGAAAGATGATAGGGAGACATAGTTTGATTAATTTCACAGGAATAAGATCCAGACCATAGTCATTTGTTCTGGATATGAGGACCAAGGAGTGTAGTTCCTGTGGTAATATATTTGTAAAATAGAATTTTATAGGGTCAGAGGAAGTTTTTGGAAGACAGTATGAAGAGGAGAGTAGTATAGAAATAGGATTGGCAAAGTATGAATTCAGTTGATCAGGAGAGACAGGGTGGGTAGAAGGTTGATGCTTAGGACTTTACTGCGGGGAGATTTTTGAGGATTTTCCATTTGCACTTGTGATCTTGTGCTTGTGATAGGAAAGTATGGAAGAATTGTGTCTTTGGGCATCATAAGGAAGATTCGGTAAGGCTTAGGAGTGTCTTGAAAAAGATGCAATCTTATCGATAGTGTGTGCATCTGAAGCACCTTCTAGCAGCATCTCTTCTTTTCATCAACTCTCAGATTTCAGGATTAATCCAGGGAGCAGCAGGGCCTCTAAAGGTAGTGGTCTTTAAGGGTGCGTGTTTATTCAGGAATAGGAGTAGATTGGAAGAAAGACATTCCACCATTTCATCAATGGAGGAGTAGGAATAGATGGCATCTAAGGATTGGATTAGTAGTTTGAGAAAAGAGTTTAGTTTTTCAGAAGTCATTGAGCCTAGATCATGTGATTTTCTTAGGAATAAACTTAAGAGTCAGGACGTTATAGGAAATCTTAATTAGATCATGATATGAGAGAAAGGAGACAGGATTCTGAGAGGAAGATAATAAATTTTGAGATGAGTCAATCATAACAAGGTCGAGCCATGTACTCGTGAACTGAGTTTAATGATTGGGTTGAAAGGGAACAATAAATAGGTCAAGGGAATGGATTAGGTCTACAAGGTATGATTGGTCGGGAGAGTCTGAGCATAAGTTGGTGTTAAAGTCACCGGTTATTATAACATTATTGTATAAAGGAAGGTAGGTAAAAAGGGTGGATTCTAAGGCAGGATCAAATAGGACTTAAGGAGGGCGATATGTAATGACATAGAGGAGGGAAAAGGAATCTGAGGATATTTCTACAAATAAATATTCTAAATGAGGAGTGTTGGGAGAGGGAAACTTGTAAAGGAATTTTATCTTCAGGCTTTGACGAATGTTAAGACCAACATCACCACCTGTTCAGTCCATTTGATCATGGCGAATAAGGGTGTAGTTAGAGTAGATATAGAAGACGAGAGAACATTTGGGTTTAGCCAGGTTTCCAAAACGGCAATATTATGATAAAAATTATGGAGAAAATAATCAAGGAGTTCATTAAAGTGGGCTGAAAGAGATTAGGAGTTCACGTGACAGGTTAATAGGATATTAGTCATATAAGGAAGAGGAAGGATGTACTTCAATGAAAGTTGGGAAAGGAAGGGGACAATTGTAATTATATAAATTAAAATTGCCTATGAAAAAGAGAATGTGATAAAAAAGAAACAAAATAGGGTAAATAATTATTGATTTTAACAAAATTAATAAAATTGTTAACTGAGAAAATTAAATGGCTAAATAAAAATAATAAAAGATTAATTGAGAAAAAATAAATAAAACTTCAGATATTCAATTAATAAAAAACAAAATGATATCCCTTGAAAGAGAAATTAAATATAGAAACTGATATATGACAAAAAAATATAGAAATTTCCATGTAACTGTGAGTAAAGCCTAAAACAGTGTAGATGCAGTTGGGTATGCGTCATTGGAATGTGTCAAGATCGCTGGTCTGGTTTATTATCCCAACCTGCGCCCCCACTTTTCAACACTGGAAATCGATACATATTTTATTTTTATTGCGATCCTCCTCTGTTATGCCAGCCAGTAAAGATGGTGGTTGTGTGAGGTCATCTGCTCTGAAACGTAGATTCTTTCGTCGTTATCCCATCCAAGGTGCCTGGTGGAGAAGTCTCTTTTTATTCTTCTTAGACGTAACACCTCGTCCCGGATGATCACGAAACGCACGATGATCGACGATGACTGGGTGTTTTCTCCTTTAGGATGCCTTATTTCCACCAAATCTAGGTCTTTGGGATTGAGCCTCTCACCCAGGTCCGCTCCAACGGATGTTTCCCCAGTCTTCATGGGAATCCCTCTTAACCCCAAGGAATGTGATAGTTGGGCCTGCTCTGTATGGTCCAGACTACTTTACAAATTTTTGATCTCCATTTTAAGGCTGTTATTTTCTGCTAATAATTTTTAATCATTTCTTCCTGCCTTTTTGGACGTTCCTCCATCGAATTAAGCCGTTTTTCAAACAAACTCGTTTGTTTTTGGCTATATTTTTTTAGATCTTTAATATTATAGGTTATTTTGCCTAACTCGGCTAAAACAACCGTGAAATTTTCTTCCAATGTAGCACCTGTATGTAACTTTGTTACTGATTTTATCAGTGTCTCAGAGATACAGCAGCACCAGTTTTTTTTTTTTTATTAAGTCCACCTCTGAGACATTAGCACATTTACGGTGGTATATATTTTTACAGTTGTGGCACGCTAGGGTGGTTTTATCATCCCTGGTAACTGCTACCTTGCATCTCGGATGCGGTGTCATGTCGAGTTATAGTGAACGACTGAAGTGATGGAAACAATACAGAATAGAGTGATGGGGAGCAGTAGCAGCGGTGAGGATATAGAGCTACGTACTCTTTTATCACATCCAGGCTGTGATTATGATTACTAATATGGTATTAGTAATACCTAAACTCTATTTTAATAATGGCTGTAAACTTTCTAATTCAATATAGTTTCCTATATAGTTCACTTTTAATAATATTTACTGTGCATGCAGTAAACACACAACTTATTAATTTTTAATTATATTGTCAGTGTAATTACTCGCGGGCTTGTAATGAAATTGGTTAAAATAACAAGAAACATACTGTTTGACGGCCAGACTAATTAAGGGGAGGGAACCTGGATAAACACTATCTTGCTCAAAGTACGGAACCCAAAACTCTTCATGGGTTGTAATGGTACAGATTTTGTTTTCTTTATTTAAGTTTGCTCAATCACTAATCTTATTTAGGTCTTTTTAAATTTTGGCAAATGCTATTTATAACTCAGAAGGAGGAAAAGATAAATAGATATAGATAACATCAGCATAAGATGATGGAAACAGTGATAAAATTAGAAGATTGTTGAAATAAGAATTAAGGAAGAGAGGAGAAATACTTGATCCCTCAGCTTTACTTTAGGGCAGGCTAAGGTTTAGGGTAGGAGTTCATTAGGAATAACAAATGCTTGAGTGCGATTAGAGTGGAAATATTGAATCCAGCATATATAGCTTTTGGAAAAAAGGATAGCAATTTTAATTTTATAAAAAATATAGAGTATTCCAGTTCAGAGAACCACAAGCTTTAGTGAAGTCGAGGATATACTCCTACAGTGCACTTATACAGTGTAGTTAACATTTATGGAAGGCAATTTTGTATTGAGAATCTGATCAAATCCTGTGGAATTAATAGGAGGTTTCATTGTATAGGAAATAAAAGTAAGACCTGATGGAGATATTACCATATGAAGATCAATTGAAGGATCTGATTTTATTGGCATGGTGTCCTATGCTGTGAACTTTTTCCAAAGATAAAATGAAATGAGCATTTTATTATTCTATTTTATTATATGGAGGATCAGGTAAAAAAGTTCAGTCTATATTGTAGGTGTTCATAGACTAGGCTAAAATATTGGATATAGATCCCTTCGATGACTTGCGAATATATGTTTATTTAGGATTTGTTGCTCTAAAATTTGATAATATTGGGGTGAAGGAATAAAGAAATCACCCAGAGAATCGCTAAATGTTTTGTTATAAAGTAGTTAATTTTATTTAAAACTAAATAAAGCTGTTTTCAAATTCACCCCTTGAGACTGCTATACTATGTTTGATCTGAATAATTAATACAGAAAGTGATAATAAGGAATTATTTAAGTGACTTTTAGTTAGTACCATGAATATATCTTTAAAATAATTTAAAAAGTAATTTACTGCTATCATCTTATGTAAAATGTCTTAGGTTATTTTCATTTATTAATTATTTAAAACATGTTAAAGTTTTACTTAAAAAATGAAATTAGATTTCTAGGCTTAGTGGAATTTGAATATGGCATATACTTGCTAATAATGATTTTGATTTTAGCGTAAATGGCCTGAAGAAGGATGGGATGATGCTACTATTGAGTTATTTTTAAATGATCTTGCTCATATGGATTGTAACAATTTTCCAGAAAATAGTGGAGTTGGTGAAAGAGAAGCTCGTTTTGCATCAGGTGAAATTGTTTTGTATTATTCAAGCATTTAGTCTACTTGTTTATAGTTGATCATTTTTATTTCAATGAAATAAATTAATTATATTTGAGTAATATTAAATAGTACTTTTTTGATTATTGAAAACAAAATTTTTTATTTAAAAAAAATCTGTTGCGGTGTGTGCATCACACAACTTTCACTTACCAACCTTAGAGTAGATAAATATTATAGTATCTAGAAATCTATGCAGAAAACAATAATCTAAAAAAAAAGGCAGAAAACAATAACACACAAAAAAAAATCTGATGCTGTAACACAACTTTCACTTACCAACCTTAGAGTAGATAGGTATTTTGTTATAGGAAGTTAAAGTGAAAACTTCGTAACTTCATTTAAAACAATTAATTACCATGTTTTTCCTGCTATCGAATAAATTAAATTTGTACATTTTCATTACTTTCCATTTCCTTATATGTCTGCATATACTATCAAATAATATTAATGATTGTGGGGGAAATGGATCTTTTGGAACAATTTTAAGTTTTATCACAAACATTTATCACGAAACTTATCAAAAGAAAAAGCTAACGTTAGTAAATATTGTGCATTATTAGGTTTATATTAATAGATCCTCAACATTTCGCATGAAAACCTTTTTAAAAAATTATGGATAAGTGATATATAAATGTTAAACTAACAATATGAAAGCCCTCTACAGAGGGGTATCGGGTATCTGTAAAGGAGGAAAAAGTCGGGCACTCTCGGTTGTTTCCGTATAGCTTCCAATCCATATTTCTCCTTCAATTACTAATAATTTTTCTTTATATTTAACCATTTGTTATATCAGTTACCTATGTGAAGTTATTTTTATTTTATATTATATATTATTTATTATTTTTATTTATATTATATTTTTATTTTATATTATATTATATTATATTTTTATTTGGTTAATTATTTTTAAAAAATCTGGTGTGTGCAAAACTTAACTTTCACTTTTCACAACACACACCGCTCTACTTTGAATAGAAATTATTTTTTGGCAATGTTGGGCTATTATAAAATTTATGAAATGCATTTTAAACAGAGCAAAATCTTAAAGCTTACAGCTAACAGATCATTAAGACCATTCAAATAACAAAAACTCAATTTATTTTATCAACGGTAGGCAATAAAAATCTAGTTTCTCCATCTGTTTTTGTAAGCCACATAAATTCAGTCTCTGAGCTATACGTGCCTTTCAGTTGACAGAATGACTAACTCCAATTTCACCATTTTTAAGTAATTTCATCATCACATTTTCTCCTCTAGTACCGCCTATGCAGTGTGAGGCAGTCTATAGAGCTTTCTCCAATTCTGCTGATCTTCCACCAAGTGCCTTCTCTTATTCCTTTGGAGTCCTCTTTTCAGGAAATCCGTCTTTACTCCGTCTTCCCATTTATTTCTTGGTTGATCTATACTCCCTTATCTCTTAAGGCCTCAGAGATATCCGTCTTCCTTACTCGGGCAAAGGCTTTTTTAAGGTTAACAAAGCATACTGAAAGTTCCTTATCTTTTTCTAACACCTTTTCAAAGACTTGTCTCATGATAAAAATTAAGTCTTGGTTGCTGCGATTTTCTCGAAATCCATATTGTTCTTCTTCTAGCAACTTTTTGCCTCTTCCTCTTATTATTTTCTCCTGGATCTTGGAATATATTTTGCTTGGTATGCTAAGTAGAGATATTCCATGGTGATTGTTGCAATCTCTGTTATTTCCTTTCTTAAAGATTGGAACAATGACTGCTACTTCCCAATCTTTCGGTATTTAATTCTGCTTACACATCAGCTTCGCAACATCATCAAAGGTGCAACATCATTTCTTTTCCTTTTGGTCCCATATATTTCAGCATTTTGGGTGTTATTTCATCCTTACCTGCTGATTTTTCCAGCTTAATACTCTGTAGCGCTTCCTCTAATTCGTCTTTGTCGATAAAATCATCCTATTCCCAGGTATTTCCTTGGTTCTGCTCTTCATTTACTTGGGTTGGGTCTCTATTCTCTTCCAGCAAATTTAGGAAGTATTTCCTCCATCTTTCCATTATTTGGTCCTTCTGCCTGAGAATATTCCCCTCCTTGTCCTTGAGAAGCTTTTCTTTCCTTTCTTAATCCCTTGAGTACACCGTAGAATAACTTTTGATTTTGGTGGAAATCAATTTCCAATTTTTGTCCAAAATCCGTCCATGCTATTCTCTTGGCTTCTATGACCTTGTTCTTAGCCTCGAGTCTTTTCCTCTTGTACTGCTCGAAGTTTTCCTACAATTTATGCTCAAGGTATTCTTTCCATAGAATTTTCTTCTCTCTAATGGCTTTTTTCACTTCATCAGACCACCACGCTGTTCTCTTATATTGTGCTCCAAATCGTTTTTTTCCACAAACTACAGTTGCCGTATCCAATATTATTTTCTTAAATTAAAAACCGTATATTTCTAAGTCGTCCGTGTCCCATGGATAATCCATTTCTCCCTTTTTTTTCTTCTTTTTTTTTTTACCCCCTTCCTGGCATTTTTGCCATACGGGGTTTCAACAGTGCATTGACACATTGGGAATACGTACCGCTACTGTTGCCAATATTCTTAATACTAATGCTATTTATTTTATTTTGTCACCGCGGTGCGGCTCGGTGCACGGGTGTACGCCTTACTGATGGGGCCGCACCTTAGTCTCCAGCTGCTTGCGTATCTTGCCCTCCTGGGTAGTTTCCTCCAACAGTCCCTATTGAGAAGTGAGTAGGTTCCACCTTTTGCCTCCATTTTCTCACGAACTCTACGAAGTGGGGGTATTTATCTTCCTCCATCAGTCGAGGAAGATAATCTTCGTCTAGGGCGTACAGTCCTGTCCTCCGCATCAATATGCCTCTTGCTTCCTCCATTGCGGTGTATGATATAACCACGTGCTCCGCCGTATCAGGGGCACCGCAGTCGGGACATGAGGGGTCGATGTTCTTCCCATGTTTCCTGAGTTTGTCTCTAAACCCCCCCCCCCATGTCCCGTCAGGATCTGTGAGGTCCAATAGTCTGGCTTGACCCAATGTGCTTCCAATCTGGAATGAATGGTGGGGAAGTATTTTCTCAAGGTGACTGGCTCCATTCTCACTTACAATCCACCACCCATTCCATTCCTCTAGTGTCGCCTCTCAGACTATGCCACTCCATCTTCCTGGATCCTCACGGACCCTCCGTTGAAGCCCCTCTGGGAGTGCCTCCAGGCCCTGCCTCTTTAGGTTATTCCTCCAAGCGTCCTTAGGTCATTCCTGTGGTACCGGAGATGCCCTGATGAGATTACGCAGGGAGATTGATGACAAGGCGGAGAAATATGTCATGATGGTCCTCTTTGACATATCTTCTGCCTTTGATAGCGTATGGTGGCCCTGCGTACTCCAGCGTCTCCAACAGTTCGACGCCCCCAGCAACTTGTACTCCCTCATTAGGGGGTACCTCAGCGATTGGAAAGCTAGGATACGGGGTACCTTCTATGAGGTAGAGCGGAAAATAGAAAGAGGATGTCCACAGGGCTCAGTCCTGGGCCCGGCTCTGTGGAAGTTAGTTAGGAGATTGAGTCCGCCCAGGTGAGGAGATCACCTACCTAGGCGTGAGATTTAAATCAAAATTTAATATTTCTCCTCAGATAGAGTACCTACGGAGTAGAGTGTCCCTGTCCCTAAATGGCCTTACACCGGTAGGGGGTGCCTTTTGGGGCCTCAGATACCCAACGACAAGAATCATCTACAAGGGAGTTTTGCTGGGTATACTGAGGTATGCATCCCCAGCTTGGAGCCGTCGCCTGAATCAGGCGCAGAAGAAGAAGATGGCCACCATCCAAAGGCTCGCCCTGATGAGGACGACTAGGACTTACAGAACCGTGTCCCACGAAGTGGTGCAAGTGCTGGCCAGGGAGTTGCCTCTGGACCTCGTCCTTCAGGAGGTACAGGGCCACTCTACTCCGTAGGTACTCTATCTGAGGAGAAATATTAAATTTTGATTTAAATCTCACGCCTAGGTAGGTGATCTCCTCACCTGGGCGGACTCTATCTCCTAACTAACTTCCACAGAGCCGGGCCCAGGACTGAGCCCTGTGGACATCCGCTTTCTATTTTCCGCTCTACCTCATAGAAGGTACCCCGTATCCTAGCTTTCCAATCGCTGAGGTACCCCCTAATGAGGGAGTACAAGTTGCTGGGGGCGTCGAACTGTTGGAGGCGCTGGAGTACGCAGGGCCACCATACGCTATCAAAGGCGGAAGATATGTCAAAGAGGACCATCATGACATATTTCTCCGCCTTGTCATCAATCTCCCTGCGTAATCTCATCAGGGCATCTCCGGTGCCACACCCCTTCGTGGATCCGTATTGCCTCGGGTGACTCGCTACCCGCAGGACTGGCGCCAGACTCTTTATAATGAGGTGCTCCAGGACCTTGCTCATTACAGGGAGGAGGCATATGGGTCTGTAGGATTTTGCTACCTGCTTGTCCTTGCCTCCCCCCTTGTATAGCAGTGTCATGTTGGCGATCTTCCATTGAGTTGGGAAGTGCCCCCTATCCAAGCATTCATTCATTATCTCAAGTAATTCTCCTTCAATATAGGGAACACTCCTCTTTAAGATCGCCGCATCGATGGTGTCGAGTCCCGGAGCTCTTCCTAACCTTTTTCTGTCTATTGCCATCCGCAGGTCCCACACTTCCCATGGTGGAATGAACTCCGTGCCAGGCGGATACTCCGTAGTTTGCCTCACATGGGCAGTGGGATTCGTACTCTCTTCCCAGTCCTGGTCCACCAACTTGGGCTCTAGAGCGCTGGTAAAGAGCGCCCAGTCGGCCGTCTTCGTTACGAATTCCCTTCTCCTTTCGCTGTAGTGGTGATCACTGTCCTTTAACTTAAATCTAATAATTCCGTGGTCGGAGCTTGTGTCAGACCCTAGGGACCAGTCAGTAATCCTCCTTGACATGACAGGAGTAGCCAGGGTTACATCAATCCAGCTCTGGC